ACGCGTACCTACGAAACATAACTCTGCTCTCATCAGCACCACCCACTCGTCCTCCAGTCCAAGACCAAACCTCGTTCCCAGGGTTTTTCCGGGAGGAAGAGAGACCCTGGGAACGAAGTTGTCCAAGACCCTTTCCAATCCTCAATCCCTTCGCAGCTTCCCACGTTTTTTCATACTATTTAAAACCTGAAGGGACAACGATTTCAGTTCACTCTACAAAAAGATTCAAAGAATGTCACATGTCATGCCACATTACAGAGTGGGAAAACACGTTTTCCCAGGAAGAGGGAATTTTAAATAGTATTGACCTGTGAGGTCTGAGAAGGCCATGTTGTAGATGTGGTTTCGGGACGTAGCTCCATGCATTTATTACTAGTGACTGTAACTTCAGTCAAACGGAGATGTACACACAACAGTCATAGGTATATGAGTATAAATAAAATCTCGGAAAGGGTTTCTGGTGTAAGCCATAGTTTCTGCTTTATATACCTTCACCGTTTTGTACTTTTGCCTTCCTCGCCGCCCTATAAACGACTTCTGCGATCATCCCGACGAGTGCAAGACTCATAAAAATGGCCATCACGACCAACAGACCTTTCTGGGTGGCTGGTGCTTTACCAGATAACAAGGAGATGGAATCCCTGTCGGGGTCAAACGGCTGAAAGCGAATAGGCAAAATAAAGAAATAATAATAATAAAGTGTCTTATCGTTTATCTCACGATGTAGTCACTTGAGATCTACATCTATCTACATCTCAAGTGACCACATCGTGAGATAAACGATAACACACTATTACTGCATCTACCACGATGAACAACAACCTTTTCCTCGACAATAAAGAAATACTCTAGAACTTCAATTAGTGACTTAACTGGGTCGATTGTCTATTTGTCTGTCTGTCCATGTCTGTCTGTCTGTCTTTGTCTGATACTATTATTGTAGTGTCCGCCAAAACGTCCATTTAACGATTAGCACGCGCAAAGATACTTAAGTATATTACTATATATCTTATTTGCAATTTATTTTGACATTTTCTGTCTTTCTGCATGCCTGTCCGCCCGTTTGTCGGTGGGTCGGTTGTCTATTTGTCTGTATGTCTGTCTGTCTGTCTGTCTGTCTGTCTTTGTCTGGTACTATTATTGTAGTGTCTGCCAACATTAACACGCGCAAAGATACTGAAGTATATTACTATATATCTTAGTTTTCCAAGAAAAGTCAGCACCCTCAGTCACTGTTTTGATTTGGTTATCAAACTCCACCAACTATGTAGTGCATTAAGAAAAATCTGTATGCTGACACTAGGATCAGAAAATTGAAGCTAAAATGAAATGTAGTCGTTTAATACCTTGACTGGCGGAAGATATTTGACGAGCAGACTATCTACATTTGAATTTTCAATATGCTTTTTGAAGCATGAATTCTGGTCCAGTAAACCTCTAAGCAGGCCACTGCCATCATCAGGTACTGCAAGGTAGTAAGGGGTTTCCTCCAAGAAGTTTGCAAACACCATGAATCTCGATTTATTGATTTCTTGTAAAGTGTGCACGGCTCTGTTTCTGTCCATAAAGATGCCGTCTATCCCATCGTTTTCGAGTTCGGTGTACAGCTCGTAAACTGTAGAAAAAACTAAAAGTAGTGCATTTCGTCATTCATGTACGGTTATGAAATACAATGTACTTTAAAATGCGGCTTACATAGCTTTGAACGATAATTGGGTGATGGTATAGGGTCGCTGCGGGTTTGACACGCCCCATGGGGATCCCCATATGAAAAAGTTAGGACTGCTCGTCGGAAAACTTAAAGTAAACCACTACAGGGGACCGATATATCTAAGTGTGGCTTGAGCTTTTTTTGACCCCTAAAAGATACCACTTTAGACAGAACAGGCCCGATTACTAGCCGCTGTTAAGGAAAGGAACCCGCGCTTATAAACCAGACTCGAGACACGGACGGAAATTAAGCCTAAAAACGCAAATAAGTGCGTTTTTGATTATTCTTTCTTCTCTGAAAGATACTTTGTCAGCTAAAAATAATAACGTTTCGTCTTGAACACCCTAAGTGAGACCGGAATCCTTGATTTATACCCCTTAGCGAGACGACGAGCATCCTCCACCCTTTCATATCGGAGCCCTAGGCCTCTCCCCGGGTTTACACGTTCTTCTATTGCAGAATGTCTGATAACCATAGTTTCATAGTTTCCATAACCATAGTTTCGGGATTCACGACTGACATAAAGCAGAATAAAAAGAGAACTCGTACGCGGGCGGGCTGTCACAGCCTGGTAATTAATGTTGTTGAAGGAGAAAATAAACACCACTTCCAATCTTGTGGGCAATCAGATGGAAGTATACACACTCACACCAGTTTATAAATAGAACTCTAGAAATGCTTCTAAATTACTGGCCTCAGTTAAACTCTCTACTTCGTTCCCGTGTGTTGATAAAGAAGAAATGCTCGTTATGTCATGAGGGAACCAGGACGTAGAAAAAATGATTTCCTGACGGAATTTGTGGTGAACCCGTGTCGTGTGCGTTCTTTTGATCCAATTAACGAAAGAAAGGCGTAAATGAAGGAGAGGAAAATTTGAAGTCAAGTTGATTTGGATACTAATTACCTCTCACAAAGGCTCCTCTTTGAACAGCTTCTAGCTCCGCTGATGTGTTCTTCAGCACACCAATCTAAAAAAGAAACATGCTTCAATCGAATATCAGGTGTTCATCTCGGACAAACGCGTTCACAGTGTTGTGTTTACCGACGTAAAGCTTATACCGTAGCTAGTTGATCAAGAGACAATAGTTGACCTAAGACTTGATAAGGATACCCTGTGTTGTACACAAAATGTCTAAAATTGTTTGAAAAAATTAAAGGTCACTAAGTAGAAGTTTAGTAATAAAGTAATTTGGAAAAACGACATTTGAAAAATGGTTGCCGAGGAAACGTAGAGTCGCGTGACTAAGCTAAATGTTCTCCAGTAAATCATAGGTAAGGTTATTACTTGAGAGCCTTGCATACGGCCGGTGAGTCTGACATTTGAATTGACCAAATAGGCAGCAGGCGGGAAGAACTGTACTCTCCTGACGTCAGTGAATGTCAACAAAAGGCATTGAAGTCGAGCAACATTTCTAACTGGAGACGCCATCGAATATTCACCTAAAGGGATCTATAATTCCAAAAGCCATGTCAGAATGTAAAAAGTGAAAAAATAAATTGAAACATTTTGCTTGGCACCAAAAATGCGTCGACCGCCCGGTAACTCACCCTTATTTCGTCGAGCGTCGCCAGGTAGGAAAATATTTGTGTTATTGCGAACAAAATATGTTGTTCCTCGTCATATGAAACCCAGAATTCCCGAGTTAAGTATTAGAAGAGGCCAAAGCATTTTAAACATTGTTTTTATTGTGTTAGCTGGGAAGAGAAAGACTATTATCGTGCCGTTTCGGATGGACAACTCGGTTTTGACTGCCTTTGGTACTGCAGGCGTAACCACCGTATGCAAGGAGGGTTTAAAAGTACATAAGACTGTTGATTAGATCTGCGTTCGATGTTTTCTAGGGTGCCATAGAGTTTCAATCAGTTTACTTTTTTTTACCTTGTTTCCTTCCAATCTTGCAAAGACTTCAGCATCGACACTGATAGCACTAGTAGCGGTGGCTGTGAAAATTGCTATAACGACCACTCCGATCAAGATCCAAAGAACGCCAAATACACGACCGAGAATGAACTTGGGGGTCTTGTCTCCGTAACTAAAATCGAAACAAGATACCTCTTATCAGTTATAACCCGGCAGAATCTTCACCAAAAACTTGCTAAACAGGAATGTACCCAGCTGGTTTCTCTTCTCTTTCAAGTTTTGAACTTTTATCCTTCAACAAAAAAGCGGCAGCTTATACTTTCAGCTTCAAGTCCACTAAGATAAAATGAAGGGAAGCAAATCCCTAGCGATTCGTTGATCCCCTAGGGAAGATATCAAGCGGACGTCAAAGGAAAGAGACTTTCATCACACGTCTTTTGTTCTAAAAATAACTTCTGTCAGTGGAACGGACATATCCCATCTGACGCCCTGCGTTTCGCTTTCCATCTCCTCATTCTCTCCTGACTTTACCTACTACTAACTTGCGCGGAAGCCGAATTAACCAAGCGAAATACCTAACTTGTAAATATTTGGATTCTTGGACAATGCTATCTGTTAAGAACTCAACGGTATGCTGCAACGGTATGCGGCGACGGGGCTAAGATAAGGAAATGACACGATCTAGTGAACATGAAAACAAAACTATTTCCTAAACCAAATTAAACCTTAACTCTCGAAAACTGGATTTTCGAAAACTGGATAGGGAACACAGCGTTAAATTCGAAATAGAAATTTAAAAAATTAGCCGTCGTCGTTCACAGTCTCCAGACAACGCAGAATTTGGTCATTTCACGTTGTGGTTTTGCAGAGGACGGCAAAGAAATGCACCAAGAACCTGCACAGCCATTGTTCTGTTCATTAAACCTTTTGTTTAGCGACGTTCCCGTTGCCGTTGCCGTTGTGCGTGGTTTCTTAAATTCCCTAATGTCATAGGCAACACGTAATTTATCAACCAAAGAAACGATGCCTGATGGTTTTAGCTTTGAGTTCAACGAGTAGTGGATTTATTTTTCAAGTGCTCCATTAATTTATTGATTATCTATTTCTTCATTACCCACGTGTTAGGGTTGCTCATCTTACCCGACCGTTGTCATGGTGACAAAAGCCCACCAAAAACCTTCGTACGAGCCTTTTGTAAAGGAACGGGGGAATTCCTCCTCATTGAAGAATGTCTCCTGAAAGGAAAATAATGTTCTTGATCAGTGTTACACAGTTTCTCATTAATATACTGTTGTTTTCACTGCCATTTGTTGCAATGTCACAAAGCTCTTTTCAAAATCTCTTCTGCCTACAAACATATCAGACATAAATTTTTATTTGATTGTCTATTAGATGTAGCTTTTTGAGCTCATTGGGGACTCTTCACGAAAATAATGACCTAAATAACTAAATTAATAATATACATGAAAAAATTACTCGATTCTGATTGGCTGAGAGCAGCGCAGTTCAAGTGTAACACCAGTGCAAAAAGTGTAACACTAGTGCAAATTACACATCGTAATTCTGGATTATGATTGGCTGCAAGACAATAGGAAGTTTTCTAGGCCAATAATATCACGTAAAATGATGACGAAAATTTTGTGCAGAAACTTTGAAAAAAGTTTTCTCGAATGAGAAAAAATGGCTTCAAGAAAGATCTTCCG